AGCTTCCCTCTGCTCCCTGCCCTCAGACCTGCCCCTAACCGGAGCGCAGGGCTCTCCGTGTCCCTGAGGGAAATGCAGAGCAAAGCCAGGCAGAGTGGAAGTCTGCTCTTGTTCGCTACATGAACTCGGCACTAGAATGAGATCTCAGAGTAGAGCTGTAAGCAAGCAAATCTGAACAGCGCTTGGACTAGATGGGCCTCTTGGTTGTCATCAGTAGCAAACACAAAGATAACAAGCTCATTATGGCTCCAGAAATACCGAGGGTTGTTGCAGGTGTGGTGGCAAGCCAGGGTTCTTGGGCATCCCGTGCACCGAGCGATCCTGCAGCAGTTCTGGGAGCAGCAGGGATACCTGGCCAGACACAAACTCTCATATTTCTGTGTTCTGCCTCTTTTAGCCAGATATTACTTTTTAATTCTTAGACTAGCAAGAGACTGCTGAGTCAACCTCAAGCTCGACTGTGTCTACCCAGGGAAAGTGGTTTTTTCTATATTAACTTCTGTGTATGGGTATTTATTTTGAGATGAGCTATGTAGCTATAAGATATATTAATATGAGTGTTTTCTTGTATCCTGCAAGATGATTATGTCTTATGTGAGATTTCCCATTAAAACAGGGAGCTTGAATAACCAAGGTTTCTTCCTGGGACACACCACAGCCTGAGCCACAATGGCAAAGCAAGTTGCTTGGGGAAAATTGTTCTGCAACTGGCAGCTGCTTCCAGCTCGTTCTGTCTGTCCAGTAACGCGAGCAGCTCTGTCTCTTGTTCCAAAACCCAGTATTTTCAGCAGATTGCTTGTTGGCATTTGTGGACCCCGGGGGCAGCATTTTGTAATGATTAAAAGGCAATGCCTATTGTGTTCTTAAGCAACTTGAAATGTAATTGATGTGCATTGCAGCCACGCTCTTCTGGAGCTTTCCCAAAGGGGAAGAAATATTTCCTTTTCAAGTTGAGCAGTGCGGAGCCAACGGATGGAGCAAGGGACAGTGAAGCAAGAGACGCTGGAGCCTGCTCTCAGCGGTGCTGTGGCCATTAAGCACCCTCTCCTTGCCAGCCCCTGGGTGCCACCCCCCTGGGCCCCTGCTTTACGGAGAGCAGAGCACTGGAGCTGTCTGCACCCTCCTGCTGACACTCTTGGCATTTCCCAGATGCTTATAAGCATGGGTTTTTACCTCCCTTAGGGGGTTAATGCCAGTCGTTTGGTAAGCTGAGGTTACAGAGTGGAAGAAGGACTGGTCTGCAGCTGTACTGGAGCACCAGGATCCTGGGGCAGTGACAAAACCCGTGGGCTCTGCGTTTAGTTGAGAGCCTGAAGTGACTCCTGTAAAGTAGCTGCGCTGGTCAGGATTCCTGGAAGGGCATCCAGGGAATGGGTGGTTTCTGTTGTGCATGCCAGTCAGGCCGGGTGAAAATTGAACAGAAAGCTGCTTCTGCCCCTCGTTAGGCTAGTGATACTGGTGAAGCATGAGCGTGGCATTATGGTTTATGCCTAGAGAAAGAATTAGTCAGGGGCCTGTAAGGAACAAATCTTCAGTGAATTTGATTGTAGCCAGCCACTAGCAAATAAATACCAAGCCACCTGAAAGACTTCCTTGTTCAGCAGTAGCTCAGTAACTCACGAGTCACTCTGAAAATCAAACTGTGGTAGCTGAACAGTAAGCGAAGAAGCATTTTAATTTGACAGCTAATGCCTTTATCATGTCTGTGTTACAGTGGTGGCATGCAGTGGTTTAATTATAAAGAGATGAACAGGCATTAGTCGATACGATGCTTTTTATCTAGTCCTGTCCCAGGGAATATGGACTTTGTACAGTGACGGGCTGCTTTACTTTGTGGTTGCTGATAGGCGCTGCGTTGCCTTCAGAGCATGCGGGAGGAAGCAAACAAACAAACAAGTCTGGAGGAGGGAAATGATTAGACGAGCCTCAGCTGGTTTTTTCCCCTCCTGAATGGCCCTCTTTCATCAGGATATGTTAGGACAAGTGCTTTTTCAAGCCAGGATATCAGTGGAAGACACAGTGTTCTGTAAAAGTCATCCAGTTCCTGGGTAGCATCAACAGACGCGATTTCTCTGCTCCGCACAGAATATACGGTCAACCTTTTCTTTTCCTTCTTTTTTTTTTTCTTTTTTTTTTTTTTTATGGCTTTAGAAGCAAAAGGATGTGAGTTTTACAGCTAGTTATGAATCTTTTCGAATTTACTGACTTCTGTCTGACTCTTGGGCCGGCACAATGCTTCTGCTGTTCAAAGAAAACCAGTCCAAATTAGTATGTATAAGCCACTCGTTTTTATGCTGCTAACAAATGCTGCTTACTAGGGCATTTATCACTGCTGCCGAGGGTCAAAAGTTGGGGATGTTCTTTAATAATAGGATTTTTCTGTTATTTAGGAGATATTTTTAAAAAGGCTGGAGTTTTAGTTGTTTACTGGAACTGAAGGATTTAAAAGGGGTTTTTTTAATCTGGGTTGGAATATCGTGCCTTGCCTTTTTCTCACTTTTATTTTGTTAGCTGTCTTTTCAAGCAGTTGTATGAAGCGACTGAGAGCAAAGAGTGTTCCTAGAGCGGAGATAAGGGCCGGTGTTGGGTAATGTTGCTGTTTCAGTACTGCGTAAAATACGAGCTTTTGCGAAGTGGCGCTTGGATGTGTTACCTCTGTACGGCACCGTGCTGGTTGTGTGGAAATGGGGGAGCGCGGGTAGTGCTGGGGCGGTGCAGGCAGTCTGAACCACGGCAAGCTGCGCTTTGTAAGGTTAGGGCGCAGTTTAGGGAACAAACATTTAAATTAAAAAAGAAATCTTGCTCTCAACAGGTTCTTTGGCTTTGCTTTCCGGTTCATTTCCAGGCAGATGAATACACGGTGACAAAAATTTTGCCATGTGGTTTGTCCTTTTCTTGCAATCATTTTCTGCTCCTACAGCGCAGCTTTGTCATTTGCCTGCAACTGGGAATATTCTGCTTTATTGTAAAAGATTTCCTGACTGCAAAAGGGGAAAGCATCAGGCAAAGTGAACCATCAGAGCAGGAGTTACGGGTGCCTTTGGGAAGGAGCTGTCTCTTCCAATCTTTTCTGCTGTAGAAATCCCAGTCAGTGCTTTATTGGGGATAAGAGAATATCCTTTGGGATGCTTTTTCACTTTCCCAAATAAATGTTTCTCAAAATCCTTGGGACGGGAATACTGTGAATTATCTCCTCGTGCATTACCTAACCATTCCCTTCCTCTGGATGAAAAAAAGAGAGGAGTGTGCATAAGGGTGTTACCTAGTTGAATATCCTATACATTGTGTTGGTGTCACTGCTTTTGTGTAACTCCTGGCCTTTTTTAACGCTTTCCTGTGAGATCTGGTGTGTGAAGGAAACGAGACTCTTCCTGGCTCACTTATGGAATGAACCAAATTCCCGTTAGCAGCAATTCTTGCCGTTAGCGCGTGTGCCAGGCAGAGCAGAGCCGGCGTCTCGGATCACAAGCAAACTGCGCGGCTCCTGTTCTGACACAACTTGCTAGCAAAGCGAGTGGTGAGTGCTAGAATACTGTGGGAGTGCAAATGGAGAAAAGCTGGTTTTAATTAGAGTGCAGTTGTCCTGCTGGCATTTTATGGATCTGATATATGACTTGTGGAGCCTGGAACTTAGGCGAAAATTTTAGTTTGTTTCTTAAAAGCAGCTGAAATCTCTAATTTAAACCTGATCCAGATTTTTCTGGGAATTTTGCACCTTGAAGATTCAGTTGAAAAATGAGGAAGCTTTGGCTGGGAACTTTGGCTGGGTTATCAGAGAAGGGTGAAGCTGAACTTGCAGCAAAAGCTGGAAACACGTGAAATTCGTGTCTGTCTTCACAAAAACACTAAGGTGGAATGGAGCATTAGTGCTCGCTTCTGCCCAAAGGCAAAGACACCACATAAAGTACGGAATAGACGAGTGCTGGGAGTAGTAACTCCTGTGGGATCATTTTCTGTAACAGAAGTAACTCCCGTGTAGCACAGTCTCGTAATGGAGCATTTATATTTAGGAGATAGCAGACAGTAATTAATGATGATCTATGTTTGAAAGTGTAGGGCAGCAGAAAATTGGGCTTTGTAGCAAGGAATGTCTCTTGTGATGTTTTGCGCCGTGTAGGAAATGCAGTGTATGCAGTTACTGTGGCCAACTAAAAGGTAGCTTAGTGGATGTTGATTTTCAGCCCTGTGGGAAATGCTAACTTTACTGCTTATGTCCAAGCCTATTTCTGAAACCCTCACGAGTGCATCATGGTACTATGTAATTAGGCTTGTGCTGGTGCTTACCATAACTACTGATTTTGTTCAGCCTTTTCTTTAGTTATATTCTGGGGCCTGTGTGTCATTTGACTCTGTGGAAATATCATTACGTATTTGCACATACTGCGACCTGCCTTCTTATCAGTAGTGTTTTCCAGGACAGCTATATCTAGCCAGAGCAAAGCAAAATCTATGCTATTGTGTCAGTTGTTTTCTCCCCTGAGGTTTCAGTGCAGTTTCCTTTCTCTTGTGATGTGCAGGTTTCATCTGCCCTCCCTTCCTCTTTAAATCTACAGATGGTTTATGGTTGCATGTTCTTGTTGTTGCATTCCAAAGAAATCTCAAGAATTGAAATTAGGAGGAACTGATTGACTCGGAACCAGATCTTCAGTCATTTTACAGGTCTAAGCCTGTAAAAAGTCTTACCCTCTAGTGTTTTAAAGTTGCAGAATTTGATAATCAAATGATAAAGTAATTTCCAGCCCATGACAGCTCAGGCAGGTATCTCCTGCAATGGCCAAGTAATAAAATGTTGGTGGAAAATGACACGTGAATAATCCATGAATAATCCTGGAGCCATGCAATGCAATCGGCAGGATCAGATTTTTGGGAGCAGCTTCTCATGACAAAATTCTACTACGTTTTACTGAGGGGAAGCCCTTCCTTTCCTAGGCATACAGACCTGAGCTCACATTTTGCTGATACTTCCTTTCAGTTGACTTCTTCTGTCATTTGTTTTCCAGCCTAAGCGAGAGCTTTTTCATGGTGAAAGGCGCAGCCCTTTTCTTACAACAAGGAAACAGCTCCCAGGGCCAGCGAAGTCTTCAGCATCCTCACAAACATGCAGGTAGTAGATTAAATCACCTACTGAAATTCTTTTTCCCTCTTGCTGTGCTGCTCACCCCGTCCACACGGACAGGCTGATAACACGTGTGGGTGGCTGGGTGACTGCTCTAATTGTCACAGTGGGCCTTGTCCAACCTGCTGGGCAAAACTGGGTTTTCAGCCCACTTGCTTCAAATGGGAGCATCTGATTATTGAGTCTTTGTTTCGACTTTTGTCGTTATCTCAGAACTGTAATTGGAGTAGAAATTTATTCTCTGCAGACATTGTGGCATTCAGCATGGCATTCTTCAGGCAGGGAAGCCTGCTGAGCCAGAAGGTCTGTGCTGAATATGTATCGCTGTTTTCCACAGCCGCAAATGAAGAAATGTCACTTATGCTTCAGTGATTTGATCTTTGCCTTCCCCTTTGGCCTGTGGGGAGGAAAATTGGATGGGCTGAGTCACAGGGCTCTAGCACCTCTTCTGTAGTGATCGAGATCCTGATTCAGCACGGCAGGGACATTCCTCTGAGTGCTCTCCCAGCCTCCAATAATCTGAAGTTTGGGACTTTCAGTGCCAGCTGACAGTATTTGTTCTTTTGAAATTACCTGTCGCTGGGTTTGTTTGATGTTGCTGGTAAGAGTAAGGAACATTTTAACGGGATTTGGGTCTCTGGATAGATACACATTTCTTAGCTCTTTGTATCCCCTTTCCCTGTTTCAGGAGAATCCCCTTTTCAGTTAATTCATCACAATCTGGCCTGTAAGAGTTTATCACAGTTTAAGAACAGACTGTCCTCCTTCCCCCAGTCCCCTCCAGTGTGCCAAACTGGTGGGAAGGAACGGCAGGGAGTTGTGTGGTGAATGTACATGAGGATTGATAAGTACATAGGGGGTTCAGAAAAGTGGATTCTACTTACCCAGTGTTTTTATGCCTTCTGTCTTTTGACAGTTTTGGAATAAGTGATTACTGAGAAAGAAGAAATAAGATCACTGGGGCATTTTGAGAGCAGGAGCATGTGGGAAAGGCACAGTGTGGTACTGTGTGTCTGCTGCTTAGTAAACACTCCAAGCACAAAGAGGGTGTTTGAATGCCAAGCTTGGCTTTGGGTTTCTTTAATTGTCAGCAATTTCATATACCCAGCAAACATCCTACGGAAGGAATTTTATCTTGTATGGAAAGTTATGAGTGCATTACCGAGTTATTAGATGTGAACTTGTTTTGTTTTCTTGTAGATTCCTTGTTCCTTTTGCTTGCTTTCACCAAACAGAAATGTACCCGCTGCTCTGGAGCCTTAAGGGACTTGTTGCATGAGCAGCACTTTGTTTGAGATAAAAGGGACCCATCACCTAAACCGGGCCTCTCCTGCAGCCCGCCCTTCTCCGAAGTTTCTCGTGTTCAGATTATACCCTCCATAAGGCCAGTGGGGCTGATCCCACGGTGCTGTGTGTGTTTCACAAGTCAAAGTTTTTCTTTTTATCTTTGCTCCTTTTTTCAAAAAATTAGTTGTTTCTCCTGCCTCTTTCTCCCCTGTCCTCAGTGCCCATATCTTTGTCTTTTCCACAATGCTGTAAAAGGAAGAAGAGTATCCTCATTTGAGCCAGTCACAGGTGGTCTCAATATATCTAGTAGCTTCCAAATACCATAAGGCTGAGTTCTCACACAGCCAGATAATGGTCATCCAAGCTGCTCGCTTCTGTTACTATTATCTGGGGCAGCAAAATTAATTGGCCTCCCTTAAATGGTATTTTTTGACTTGGAAATGTCCAGTTTCACTGAAGTTCAAGACTGTACCCATTCTTAGTGCAGCAACTGAGACCCTTTCTGATTATTTCTCTGCTTTCTTTGCAGGTGATTTGCCTCAGCACCTCCAGGTGATGATCAACCTCCTTCGCTGTGAGGATAGGATCAAACTGGTAAGGAAAGATGCACTTTTTTTGCTCTCCTTTCTGTTGGAGGTGTTTGAAACAGACCTGCAGAGGTTCATGAAAAACATTGCCAAATCCTAGCCTTCAGTGTCAGCAACCAGCCAGCCCTACTGTGTTTTCCTGTCCATGCTTTTTGCCTTGGTCCTTACATCCAGGTAATGAGTTGGGTCAGGAAACTGATCTGTCTGAAGTGTGTTTGTTTTGTTTGATTTCCTTTTCCAGTCAGCTGATGAACACTGATTCAGGAGAAGAGACAGGAGCTTGCTAATGCTAGTGGACACTCTTAAGTCAGTCTTGAAGTTGTGTCCAAGTGGAGCTGGGCTTTCTTTTAAAGAAATCTGCAGAGGCTCTAAAAGTCACTGCAGAAAAGGCAACGTCAGTTATTCCCTCCAGCATGACTAACATATTTCAGCGAAGGCTTGTGAGTGGAAGAATCCTCTGATCCTGCCTTTGTTTTCAGTTCAGTGCAAGACCAATGTTTTCACTGAATTTCTAGTTGAACTTCTTCAGAACAAATCTTCAGGTTACATTTTTTAGTATTTGTCTGAACTGGGGCAGGTAACCTAGGCTAATCTTCTCCCCACCCGATGCCGAGTCAAACTGGCAACTAGCCTTGCTGGAAGATGGACTGTCTCTCCCTGTGTCTTTCATACTGCAGCTAAATAAAGCTTTTGGGCTCAATGACACCTTAAAAAAACTTTAGGTGGCAATGGAAGTAATAATTATCCAAACGCTAGTTTGCAGAGCTTGATGACCTTTTTCTAGGCTGTCCGTTTGGAAAGTGTGTGGACAGACCGTGTCCGGTACATGGTGGTTGTATACAGCAGCGGACGCCAGGACACAGAAGAGAATATTCTGCTGGGTGTGGATTTCTCCAGCAAGGAGAGGTATGTCTAAGGCGAGGCTGGGCTTGGAAATCAGGCAGGCTGGGTTCTCTGGAAAGCCTGTCAACACCAAACTGTCCCCAGGCAGCTGGTTTACATGTACTTACAAATTCTAGCAAGAGAAAGGACATGTGTTGAGTTTTCTGACCAGTTATGAGGACAAGAGGGTGATTTTTGTTCCAATAGGCTTTCAGTCTCCTTGGAATCTGTGGGCAGTTGTAGAGAAAGCATTCACGTGTAATTCATCTGTAGGGCTGCGTGGCATCTACCTCAGCTGTGATAGTTTGCTGTCTGCTGGCTACAGAATACTTTTGCAGACACATTTGCAGAACTGGAACTTATTCTATCCACCAGACTTCAAATCTGTTGACAGTATGATGCAGTGGAGCTGAGGGGTTTTTTTTTTGGGGGGGGGGGGGTGTGACGGAAGGGGAACTTAGTTGCCAAATAACATCAAAAAACAATACTGCAAAAGTACCTCCAAAACCAACAAACATGTCAGTAATGAGCTGTTTCTTTTATCAAACTGATAAGAGCACGTAATATTTTGAAAGGCAAATAAAATATTTTGTTATTGCAGACCCTCTCACATTACTCCAGTTCTAGGTGAGTAAACCAAGGAAGAAAAGCTCTTGGCTCGGAGAGACAGGGCTGGTTTGGCAGAGCTGGAGTTAGAAGTCAGAGCTCCCAGGCAGTTGTTTCTGTTCTCCAATGATTTAGCAGGCTGCCATGTTGTGCTGGCACAGCCAGGGTCACTTTTGTTTTCTTTTTGGAAAACCTTAGTGACTGTCTCCATTGCTGTAAGTGGAAGGGGGGAGCTTTTGCACTGCAACGAGACGTGTAGGGGAACTTGTAGCCATGCCTTCCTAGTAAGATTATTGTCATTGGCTTTGATGCTGCCCTTTATATCTGCTGTTAAACTACTGCTGTTAGTGTTAAAGAGGAAGTCCTAATGTAGCGTTTCCTCAGGGCACACTTGGTGTGCAACAGCAGTGAATGTTTGCTATGTCATCTTCATATCCCAAACAACCTTGCAACAATTTGCTGCTGGTGATTACTGATGTAAGACAAGAGGAAAGATGGAAAAGTTATGACAAATCCGTTCTGACTGTAAGGTTAGCTGCTGTTTCAGTTACTGCCTCCCCTGAAAGACAAAGTTTTTGCTAATTAAGGGTAAGTCTCATGCATAAAGAAGTCAGCTGCATTAGCAGCTTCATTGAGTGACTCCATGGCTCAGCGTTGGGGCTGAAATGTCACTGCTGAGCTGTAAGTGTTCTGACTGCTGACAGTTTGACTAGCTGGGTGCTTTTGTGGGTTTTATTCCCTTTACATGTGTTTAATAAAAAACATTTTTTTTCTCACAAAGCTCTAAAGTGCACATTGTCCACATGTGTGTTCAAACTGGCCTGTCAGATCCTTTGATCTGCTGTAGAAAGCAGCTGAAGGCTTAAAAAAGAAAGGAAAAGAACAAAACAAAACCCGAGTTCTTTGCTAACTGGCTGTTGCTGTATGCATCCGAATTTCCTTTAAAACTTTAATATCTCGGTAGCTTAATTATTTACTAGTTGAAAGTTACTGGACCCCATTATAGTATGGTTTTCTTGCCAGATTGCTTCTCTGAAATTAAAGTGTTCTTTTGGGTTAGGTAAACTCATAAAATCCATTTTTGTCTTTTCTACCAGCCAGAGTGATGAAGTGAAAATCGAACAGGCAGTCCTTTGAAAGGCCCCTTGGGTGCTCTTTGGAAAGGGCAGGCGGCTGCGCTGCCACCTACCAGCGCTTGCTTTGTGCCCCGCTTTAGTGAGCTGAACCTCTGCAGCCAGATCACTGTGATCTGCTTTTAGGTGCTGTTGGGGAACTGCCTTGCACTGAGCTTATGAGGGTGAGAGAACCGGAAGGATGTTGGGGCAAGTACTGCCGGGCTTTCTGGCAGGCTCTGGAGGGGGAGAGAAGAGCTGGTAATTTTGATTCTTGCTCCAGTAACATTTTTCCAGCCCTGTAGAGCAATCGGCTTGCTAATATCAGAGCAGACCTTCAGACTTCAGCTGCCAGTCTCCTTGTGTGTTATGTATTTGATGGCCTAAGACATTACTAGGAATTACTAGAGCAAGACTTGAGGGTTTTAAAAATTAAAGAGTATTAATAATTTAGGATATTGGTGTGACCGCATTGTGGCCTATATTTAACATCCTGTATAACAATCTCTCTTCCAGTAAAAGCTGCACTATAGGAATGGTTCTTCGTCTGTGGAGTGATACTAAAATCCATCTTGACGGTGATGGGTAAGAAACCACATTAAAAGGATAAATGTGAATGTCCTTCTCTACTTGGGGGCTGCTCTAGGAGAGATTCTCCATCACCTTGCAAATGAAGTTCCCATTTTGGATTCATGGCTGCAGTCCTCTTATTCAGACAGTGAGTTTTTGTCTTGCTGCCCTCAAACTGCTCGGTGGAACCTGTGATACCCAGTGAATGTTCTCTGAAATCCCCCCGAGGGGTGGAGCTCCCATTCCTGGCAGCCCGCGCTGGGAAGGGTGTCCGCTTGCCGTTCTTATTTGGGAGGATGTTGGAAAATCAGTGATACAAATTCTCACCCTTGATTCTTTTTGACTGTGAGTGCCCCTATAGCTGCCTTGCAGTAGCTGTTTGTAGAGTGCAGCTTGTGAAGCAGAGAAGAGCAGTTTCTGAGTGTTTTTTTTTTCCTCTTCCTCTCTCTGTTAGTGGCTTCAGCGTGAGCACCGCAGGGAGAATGCACATCTTCAAGCCAGTGTCGGTGCAAGCCATGTGGTATGTGTGTTAATTAGCTTTACTGAGAAAGAGACTGCCATTTCTGTGAATAAATTAAAAACAAATAAACAAACTGCATTCTAGCATTCTCCATAATTGGTATTTAGTGAGCTGCAGCAGAGATGCTGCTTCCCTGTGTCAGCAGGTAGCAGTACTGTAAAGGCACTGTGAGAATACTGATCCCAAAACAGGATCTTCTGCTTCTGCTCAGAGCAGCTCTGTGCTCTCCAGTATAAGGGAAATGGCCCTGGTGAGATGAATAAATATGAGAAAGACCAACTTGAATTCATCAGGCTGCAAACCCAGTCTGTCTTCTCTCTGCATATTTTTCTAACTGGCTGAAGGAGGAGTCGCAGGACCCGTTGCCAATCTGATGGCATTCCCTGTGTTCTGCCTCGTTACTGGGGCCGGGCTGGGGTTTCTGCTGCATGGAAACTTTCCGTGCCGCCCCGGGTGCCTGTTCACCTTTCAGCTCCTGTCACCCCTCCCATGTGCAGGGATTCCAAAACACTGAAGCAGAGGTGGCTGAATCAGCAGCAGCTGTGCCAGCGAATTCCTCCTTGAAGAGGCTGCTACCCAGCCCCGCACAGAACACATGCATCTCTCTCGGGCTGGGCAGTTTGCTGGCTCCTGTTGGAGCCTCGAGAGATCCCTGTCCTTGCGGCATCTGATGGGGAAAAGATACAGATGTAGAGAAGGATGTCGTGCTAGGGATGATTTGGTACAGAAACAAATGAAACTCTTGTTCCTGTCATTTTTGAACTCAGCCCCTCCTGTTGGCAGCCTTAGATGTGGTTAATGTGTTCAGTACAATGACATCTTCGGAGTGGAGCCTTGAAAGAAGCGGGGGGAAAAAAATAGAAAAGAAAAAAATGAGGAGGGAAGGAAAGAAGTAGTAATGCTAGAATTTGCAAAAACAAATGACCCAATCTGGGCCTTGTCCCTGGAGCGTGTCAGGGGCCAAGAATGCTGGTAAATATGCATTTGACTCCTTGCTGAGGGTGGTTTGAATATTGTCCATGTTCTTTATTTTTCTTTGGTCTGGCTTTACAAGTTAGCTAATGATTAGATCCCAGAGCAACTTGTGCCTTATGCTTGCCTGTTAATCAGGAGAAGATCTCGGCCTCTGCCTTGGACCGGCTCTTGAGGAGGCCTCTAAGGTGCAGTTTGTGCCCTCTTTGAACTCTGATACAATGAATCATCTGCTCTCAAAAAGCAAACTGCAGCGATGCTGAAAATAGTTTTTTCTCTGTGAAAATCTCTCAGATCCCGCTCTGTCTGTTCCTGCTGCTCACGTCTGCACAAATGTGTTCTCCAAACTTGCAGGTCTGCTTTACAGATCCTCCATAAAGCCTGTGAAGTTGCAAGAAGGTACAACTACTTCCCAGGTGGGATGGCCTTGGTGTGGGCCACGTATTACGAAAGCTGCATCAGCTCCGACCAGAGCTGCATCAACGAGTGGAATGCGATGCAGGACCTGGAGTCCACCCGCCCCGACTCTCCAGCCCTGTTTGTTGACAAGTCAGTTCTGAATTTTATTAGAAAAAGTTGCCTTGGTTCACAAGAGAATTCTTCCCTTCTCCCTTTTCCTCCTCCAGTGGTTAATTTCTTTTCTTTTCATAAATGTCTTCAAATGTTTTTCTTCCATTATTCTCATAAAAATTGCTTTTAATGCAAGTCTTTACCACTGCTCCTCTGTAGTGTGTGAGCTGCACTGTGTGCTACTGCCAGCCTGGAGACATCCCCTCTTTTTTCTTTTCAGGCCAACTGAAAGAGAACGAACAGAACGGCTCATTAAAGCCAAACTCCGGAGCATCATGATGAGCAAAGACCTGGAAAATGTGACTTCTAAGGAGGTAAATATAAAAATTCCTGCCATCTTCCTCTTCTTGCTAGACTCCGTTTCCAGAGAGTGCTGTGCTGGTGAGGAGCCACCACATGATGAGGTGTCACTGCCTCTTGTGTGCGCATTTCCAGCTGTTCCACAAGGGCTCTGCTCTTTGCTATACCTCTGCTTCCCCAGCAGGGAAATCAGGATAATACCAGCATCAGAGTGCATTTTTCAAGACCTTAGTAACAAGGATGTGACTTTCAAGTGCAGAGTGCCTGGTCCTTTGCCAGCAAAGTGGCGTCAGAGGTGATGCCTGCGCTACGGTTGGTTGTAGCACACGCAGGCATGTCCCAGGCAGTGAATCTGCAGACGCTTCTTCCTCAGTGCATCCCCGTGAATTGCACAAGCAAAGGCAGCACTCTCCAAAGGTGCAGCTGGTGGCCTCGCAGCTGTATGACGTGAGCGTCCTGATCTTCAGTTGCTCACGGACAGTGCAGAGCAAAGTGTGCGCCTTCCTTTCCCCTGTCGGCTTCGTTTTAAGGTTTTATTTCCTTTGCTGAATGTCAGAGGGGCTTGCAGACGGCATTTTGCTAGTGAGTTTGTGGGTGGAAAATCACAAGTCACGGCTAAAGCTAGTTTGGATCCATCCCACAGGCCGGTGTAAATACGTCCAGCCGCAGTGCAGACATATTCAGAGTAAATGGAAGTAGTTCTTTCTGAGCTGGGTTTTTGTTTGTTTGTTTGTCAAAGGAGGCTATTCACGTGCAGGGCTCTCCTTCCTAAAGCTCAGCACTGGAAGCTTCAGATACACTCTTGTGTAACAGCAGCGTTACCAGTTGTAGGCATAAGCTGGTCTGTCTGTGTACGTGTTCTTAACTCTTGGTGCAGTCAGGATGCTTTGATTTTGCTGCAACCATTTTCCATGGGGGGGTTAAGCAAAGTTGTGCTGCTTTGCATTGCACCTTCTGTAGCTGAGGTGCAGTGAGCCGACTGGAAAAGTGTTTTAAAATGGGAGAGTACTGGAAAGCTCTCTCTCCACCAACTCTGCTGCCATTATTCACTCCTTGCTTCTAGCGACTTTTGCATTTTTTTGTTAGCTGCTCTCCAAGGTCTTGTTTTTTATCTCTTGAATGATTTTTAAGTAGCAGGAACCCCAAAATACTTTTTTTTTTTTTTTTTTTTTTTTTGCACTTGAATGTTATCTGAAGCTTTATTTACAGATCTTCAATCTGGGGGCCTAGGATACTTGGAGGGATGCCTGTAGTGAGATTCCTTGTCTCCTAAAGGTCAAATCCCTCTTGCTGTTTTTAATGAAGTACAGAAAAAATGTTTTGCAAAGGAGTGCCGACAAATGTTTCTGTTGAACAGAGATGATTCTAGGTGGCATCCTTTGTTTTCTGCTCTGCAGATACGAAATGAGCTGGAGAAACACATGAATTGCAACTTGAAGGAATTCAAGGAATTTATAGACAATGAAATGCTGCTTATCCTGGGTCAGATGGACAAACCGTCTCTGATTTTTGATCATTTATATCTGGTAAGCTGTCGTGTTAGGAGCTCCAGAATAGCGGGAGGCTCAGTGGGAGTGATCTGACAAGTGACTGGCTTTGGAGGAAGCTGGATTTGGCGTCAAGGCTGACACCTGCGGCGCGGGCAGGAGGTACAGCCCGCTGTCCCACCGTTGGTGCAGACTTTACTCCAGGAGCCATATTGCTTGCAAAAGCCCACAGTAGAGAAGCCCTTTATTTTCTGGCTATGTTCTTGTTCCTGGGATGTGGCATAATGGTTCTTTCCTGGCAGGTTGATCCTGTTTCAGGATGTACCATGGCATAGCTCGAGTTCTCTCTGTGCACGTTCATCTTCTATTTCTAGCAATGGAGATTGTACTTTATGACAAATACAGGGTCTCGCTGCGGATGCTGCCCCGGCGTGACGGCCTTTTGCTCTGTGACTCTGATTAGGGTCACTGGAGTGGTTTTCTCGATTGAGCCTCTGTTGTTCTGTAGGCATGGCCAGAAGTGTGCAAGGAGTAAGGCTGAAGGCCATGTGCTGCTCCAGCTTGTGCAGGAGCAAGGATCAGTGTGTGTTTTGTCTGATCTTCTGCCACTAGATGGTACTCCAAGCAAAACCAGGCGCTGCCATCTGGAACAAAGACTTGCTTGAGATGAACGCATTTGCGTCTGTTATGCTTGGGTTTGGTTTGGTTTTTCTTTTTTTTTTTTTTGTTCTGGAGAGAGCCAGAGGAAGTGCTCATGTCTGAGGGCAAAACCTGCTTTTTGAAGCCTTTTTAGCTTTCTGTTTTGCAGGTATGGGAAGGGATCCAAGGTGTAACCACCCCCATAGCTTTCAGATTTTGCCTCACTTCTCATATACCTGTGATCCCAGTCATGCCACACATAATCCTTTTCTTTTCCTGCACTATCTATCGCTGTGATTAAAAATCCAGAGCAGCTGGGGACAGTGATTTGGGATGCTCTCAGTCCTAACTCCCTAGGTGAGGATGTAATGCCCTTGTCCTCTCGTTCAGGAGGTCCCTGCGTGTTTGGGACGGGGCATCTCTGTGCTGAGCTGCAGCACTGGCTGCCCTGGTGCCATATTCCTGTTTCAGAGGCTGGTTACCAATATTTCGCTCAGCAGCTAAGGAAGATTGCAGGGGCTGAGGGGATTGCAGAGCCTCGGGAGGAAGGGAGACTCTGGGGCTCCTTTGAAATGTGTGTTTTGTGGCTGTTGCAGGGGTCTGAGTGGAACGCCTCCAACCTCGAGGAGCTGCAGGGCTCGGGGTGAGTACTGCATCTGTGAGGCACCAACCTTAGACTCTGAAACCTCCAGTCGTTTGTCTTTAACTTACATTCAGGTCTCCTGAGATGGCACATGACATTTGTAGACTCTAGGGATGAGTTTGGACCCATTCTCAGGGATGTGGGTAACTTACTGCCAGGACCTTAGCGGAGGAATCTTTCCTACCTTATTTCTAACAATAATAAGTAGAGTGAAAATAACAAAACTTCTCATTTGTGTGAAGTACATCAGGATCTCCAGAACCCGCCCCAGTGTGTAGCAGCCGAGTGTGAAATGGCCATACGTATCGTGGCAGGTGTGAATTCCTGCAGGCTGCAGAAGAGCAACTATTACAGTGCTAAGCTTAGGAAAAAAACTCTATCTCAATGGAGCAGAACTTCCTGTGGATGAGCAATCTCCACCTCACCTGCCCAGACAGGCAGTTGCAGGGCTGTCTTTCACCACGCTCTCATCACCGCACCACTTCTTGGCTTGATTTGCTTTCGCGCTTTTTGGACGAGTGAGAATTTTGCATGTAAATATTTGCTGCTTGCCCAAGGCATACACCAACCCTGATGTGAGAAACTGAAAAATATTGCTCAACAGCATGACTAAAAATGTTTAATTTGGAGTCGTTGGGAACAGATGTCTGAACATCTTTGAACAAGTAAATCAACCAGCACGTTAATACTTCTGATCTACGGGGAAGGCATCTTGACATGCAGTGTCTAAAAGTCAAAGCTGGACAAATTCTGAAACAAATATCCTGTGTCCTTGATTTATCTGAATGATACGAGGTAATAAATCAGTATGGGCATTTGTTCTCCCTGGGTACATTGTAATCCCTGCTGTAATACTTGGCAGGAATCAAGAGATACCGTGTGACTCTCATTTCATATTTTTGGTCAGAAAGAAGAGAAAAGGATGGTTTTGCAGCTGAAGCCTGCAGTTAAAATTGTGATTCCTGGGGTGTGTTCCCAGCTCTTTCCCCAACAAATCACTTGCAGGCGATGCACTTTTCTTCTTTCAGCATCCCAGCAGCTGTGCGTGGCACACAGCGAGGAGTTTGAGTAGGTCACAAAACCTCAGCAGATGAGATAAAATAAACTTCTCCCTCCTGGGCCCAAGGTCTTTTGACGCTTGGAACGGGATATGCCGGTGATGAGAGATGGGTGAATGGACGGGCCCTGCACGTGACATGCGTGACCTGTGTCACCGGGTGTCCCAGGGCTTCGGGATTAGGGCTGTAGATAAAATCTTACAGTTTGTTTTGCGCCAGATTTCATGGACTTCACAAGGTGTGTCAGTTGCCTTTCACGACCGTGGCAATTCAATTTTATTTTTCTTCTTTTTTCTCCACAGCATTGACTACATTTTGAATGTGACCAGGGAAATTGATAATTTTTTCCCCGGTTTGTTTGCATATCACAACATCCGAGTGTATGACGAGGAGACCACTGACCTCCTGGCTCACTGGAATGAGGCGTACCACTTTATAAATAAGGCCAAGTAAGTGGGCTGGGAGACGCGACTTAGTGAGGGAGCACGTCCAAGCCCCGGGGTCTGACCTGGGTTTCATCCAGCGTGGAGCGGGGCCCTCCTGGAGCTGCACCACCACTGAAGGAGGCAGCAGGGCTTTTGCATTATTGCTTTTCCCAGGGGTTTTCCATGCCCCTGGAACTTCCCCGTACCTTGTCTCATTTACTGGCATTGACCTCTTCTAGCCTATGATATTTTTTTATTATTATTATTTTGTTTTGCTTCCAAAAGGAAACAAGGACATTTCCTTTTCTCAAGAAGTTCTGAAAATGCTCCAACACATGCCCGTGTTGGACTAGCCCCAGCTGCCTCTGCAGACAGGCGAATGTGACGGAGCCCGTCAAACTCCGCTGGGCGTTTACACGTGGGTTGTTCCTGCTTATCCCTCTACCCAGAGACTCGGGCAGGCAGGAGGCTTCCTGCTGGTCTCTGGAATGGCAGCACGATTGAGGCTTGCCCTTCTCTAACCCCCAGCTTTTCTGGAGAGAGATTCTTGTCATGGCTCACTGAATCCAAAATATTTCTCACCTTCTGAGCTGGAGTCAGGAGGACAAAGTACTGTCGCTCCACCGTGTAAAATGGTAACAACAGATGCCGTAACCAGAAAGATGAGACGGATTTTCCTGTTTGCCCTTCTGCAGGAAGAATCACTCCAAGTGCCTGGTGCACTGCAAAATGGGCGTGAGCCGGTCAGCATCTACTGTTATAGCTTATGCAATGAAGGAATTTGGCTGGTCACTGGAAAAGGCCTATAATTACGTGAAGCAAAAACGCAGCATTGCAAGACCAAATGCAGGCTTCATGAGACAGCTTTTGGAATACGAAGGCATTTTGGACGCAAGGTAAGGCGAGAGGATGAATGGAAAGGTGACTTGCAGGAAGTAAAGGAGCTGATGGTAGGCAGCCTCTCATGTTTTTATATCCCAAAATATTAATTGAGCTCCATGGAGTTCTGTTCGGGCAATAGGTTTTTCTGTAGATGTCTCGCACACGTGTGTCCTGCTCAAGGACACTGGCAGGGTGTGTGTGGTGCTCTAGTCTGAAGGGTCGTCTTTAGAAGGGCAGATGCCTGTGCTAATTGTGTTTTCCTAAACCTTTTCTATGCCACGCCTCCCTGGATGGAAATTAGCTGTCTTCTAGGGAGATCGGCTCTCCTTTAATTCAGTGAGGGTTTCTCTGCATTTGGGAAGCGTTTTTGTATTTCTCAGCAGCCAGTACTGTTCAGCAAAACATTGTTCTTGTTTTATGAGGCAGAACTGAGCTCAGACAGCGATGGAAGCAAATCATTTGCAGTTCTGGATGACTGTGCCAATCACAAGTCTTTGTCATTGCAAGCACTGTCGTATCTCATAAGGGTTTCTGCGTGCTCTGCTTGGCCTCTGCTCTACTGGGGGAAGAGGAGGAGAATTTTTCACTCTGGCTCAGCAGGAACTGTGCCATGAGATGTGCAGAGACGTTGGTTGGGTGTGTTCTGCTCTGACAGAGGGCTCGGTGCCCCTCAGCCCTGTGGAGCTCCCCCCGAGGGCTGCTCCCATCATGGGGGCGGTGCAGGGCGCTGCTGTGAGTCTGCTGGGCCAAAGAGACTCTGGAACAGGCAGACGGGAGGGACAAAATCCTGATGTCACAGCTGGTTTTGTCCCAGTGGGGCTGCCGGGCTGGACCCAGCGGTCAGCCCCTCGGCTCCGGGTCGTGGAAAGGGACAGACGTTCCCGAAACTGGGCAGCCTGCGCTTCCACGGGAGTCACTTGTGTCTTTGTCCTTTCCCCCCCCCGCAGCAAGCAGCGCCACAATAAGCTGTGGAAGCAGCAGGCAGAGAGCAACCTGCCCCAGAACACAGACGGCACCACGGGGTCGGGCGACTTCTTACTGGAGAGTTTAGACATCGACCTAGAAAACCGCCTGGCTGACCTGGACACGCCTTCGCAGTCGGCGTACCTGGACAACCGCGCCGGCAGGGACGTGGCTGTGGGGTTTAATTACTGCTTCCGTCGCCTCTCGGACACGCTGCTGGAGAACAAGATTCCCGGGGACAGGGAGGGCTTCTTCCACGTGGAGGAGCTGGAGCGGGACGCGCTTGCGGAGCGCGCTGCCTCGCTGGTGGGACAACCTCCATCTGCACCGTCCGAGGGAAGGCTGCTGGAGACGGCAAAAGCCCTGGAGACAGCAGAGCCGCTGGCAGAGCTGAGCAGTTTCACCGAGAAGGAGGTGAAGAAGAAACTGGACTTAAGCTCCCGTAAGGGAAGGATAGTGCTGGGCCCCGGGGACCCAGGGGAGGACGGTGTCAGGGAGGAAAATCCGATGGAGAAGTGGAAGCGGCGTTTGTCCATGCACAAGGAGGAGAGCAGGCTTAATAGAGAGAACTTGAATAACAACAACAGCAAAAGGAGTTGCCCAGAGGATTTTGAGGTGCGTATGGAGTTGAAATGTAGGTGATTAGCATGGCTGACTACTGCAAGTGAAACTGCTCTTCTCATCTTCATAGCACAGTTTCATTTGACTTGGATAAAGCCTTTCATTCCATGATGAGCTTCTTCCTTTTCGAAGTGCTTCTGAACATGGCTTTGCTTGCCCAAGCTATGGATTTAGATGCCAGAGAGAGAGCGCACACATGCGAGAGTGCCCTGTAAACTGCTTTGGGCAACTTGCTTGCATGACCATCGCTTGAAACGGTAGGTATTCTTCTGTTGAAGATACTGTCTGCTGAGAAAGTACGTGGCTTTTGTTCCTGCTGCAGGGCCTTAGGAGAAGAGATGGGCTTCGTTTCAAATCTGCTTGGCTGTAAATATATCATGTGGTCTGTGCCTCTCGCTCTGCTGATTGCTGACGTTCTGTTCTGTGCACATTTATCTGTACCTGTTTTCTTTTTTTGTTTGTTTGTTTGTTTGTTTCTTTTTTTTCAGCATGATGCCGTATTTGGGATCCTCAGTAAGGTCAAGCCTTCCTATCAGTCTTGCACTGACTGCATGTATTCCTCGGCCAGTTTGTCTCCCGACTCCTTTGGGGAGCAGTGTGAAAAGCTGAACGCCAGCACTGCGCGTCGCAGCACCACCATCTGCACACAACCAGCCCTCCTCTCCCACGTCAATTCCAACTTGGCGGAGCACCTGCCCAGCAAGGCACACTCAGAGGAAGCAATCAGAACTAAAAGTAATGAGGCTCCTCTTCCTCTGCCAGCGGGAACTGGTATGTTAGAGGCTGGTACTTACAAATCGCTCGATCAACACTTCAGCATTTTGGGGAAAGGGAAAGATGCACCAAAAACCCCGGTCAAAACTCTGCTGCCCAGGAGAAATTCACACTGTGACAAGAGCCTTCTTAATGCCGAAGTGGTGAAAGAGGAGTGTCTAGCCAGAAAAGACAGCAAACCTAGCAAGGATCTGAAGTACTTGTTCAGCAAAGACTTGGAAAAACCAAGTGCAAACAGTTACTTGATGCAGCATCAGGAGTCTCTTATTCAGCTGCAGAAGGCAGGCTTGGTTAGGAAGCATACCAAAGAGCTGGAGCGGCTGAAAAGCCTGCCCTCGGACGCCTCCTCGCTGCTCAGAGAGAGTCCCCTGAGCAGAGTTGACTCCAGCATCGTGGAGGAAAGCGAGGATTTGGTTTCGCATCCCGGCCTCCTACCTCTTCTGGGACCAGCAGCGCTGATACGCGAAGAGGCAGGAAGCGATGTGGAGAAGTTCGAGATGAAACGCGTCTTGGAGGGGATCTCTCCGAAAACCTCCGTGCCTGTCGTGTGCCGGTTGGAGCACACGAGCAGTTTCACCAAGGACTTCCTGAAGACCATCTGTTACACCCCCTCCTCCTCCCGGAGCTCTAACCTGACGCGGAGCTCCAGCAGCGACAGTATCCACAGCGTGCGGGGCAAGCCCGGCCTGGTGAAGCAGCGAACTCAGGAGATCGAGACCAGGCTGCGGCTGGCTGGCTTGACTGTGTCTTCTCCTCTGAAAAGGTCCAACTCCCTCGCCAAGCTGGGATGTCTTAACTTGTCCTCTGAGGACTTATCGAGTGACATGGATGTGTCAACCGTAACGGACTCAAAAGAGGCTGTTTCGAGCGAGTCTTCCGTGCTCTGTGAGCCACGATCCGTGCTGAGGAGTGCAGATGTCACCTCCAAGCTGGCAGCGAAGCCAGCGGTCGGAAACTTGAAGAACACGCTTTGGATGGGCAAAAGTTGATGCTTCCTGTGGGGGGGAGTAGGGGGGTGGATTTTTCTTTTTGTTTTTTTTTTTTTTTTTTTTTTATGACATTTATTCATTGCACCGATGCAGTTTTATCATCTGACTTGCAGTAGTTCATCTGATGCCACCTCTTCTTCCCCTCCTTGTACTCTAAGTGAGGAGACAAAAACCATAGTGGGTCATGATGAAGGGCACAAGGGAAAATAAAATGTATTGCATGGCTTAGAAGAGGACTTTGTGTGTGAATTGCCTGTTGTCCTGCAGGATGCTATTCTAGTACTGTTTGCCAAGTATAAGAATGTGGTTTTGTGTGTGTGTATATATAGATAGATATTTGTATCTATTTATCTATCTATCTATATATATAAAATGCTGAAATACTGTTTCAAAGACTCGATGAAATACTTAGTCATGACTTTTTTTTTTTTTTTTTTTTTTTTTTTTACAGAACAAACACAAGTCTCTAGTTAAAACAGGGCACTTGTGGAAAAATCCTTAAAATGGTGACATGAACACTACCTCTGTTCTTGCTGACTTTTAGCCTTGGTTTGTTGATTGTGGTTTTGTTTTTTTTTTTTAAAAAAAAAAAAAAAAAGGCTTTTCCCACAACACCTACCGCTGTTTGAAGGTATTCCCTTAATGTTCACTGTGAAGGCCTGGAGGAGTGTGGAGGCGGAGGCTTTACGGCCGCCGAGTGACCTAGCTGTGAAGTGGAGGAGTATCGAGCCGTGTTCGTGTTGACCCTGTGACCGGCCGCCGTTTGTCCGTCCGCGCCGGGTGACCGGGTGACTCGTCACAGTCTCCTGTTGGTGCCGGAGTGACACCCGGACTGTGTCGCTGTCCCTGGTTTCCGCTCCCCTGGAGACGGTTCGTGTTCTTTGGGTGTTTTTGCTGTCGTCGTGCTTTGTAATGTCCCAGTACTAATGACGAGCCTGGCCAGTAAGTGACCGTGGACCCTAGCGAAGCTTTGTGTGATGCTGTGTCAGTGTCGTGGATCCTGTGTGAGGGACCCTTCTTCGTCGGGCGGTTGGTGACGCGCCGTGCCAGCGACATGGCCCGGGAGGGACGGCTCTCCCGGTGTCCCACGCCTTTGAAAGTCCCCGTAGGCAATAGGTGAACGTGTGTCTTTTCTGATTATTGCTGTTGGTTTGGTAGAACAGTTCCTACGCCCCGGGTGTGCCAGCAGCCTGGGAAGCTGTTGATGAAGTCCAGGGGGTTGTTTGTGCTGGGTGGCAGGAGGGCGGCTGGCCCCAGGGCGGGTGTACGTGTCCCCGCTCCCGCAGAGCTGCACCAGCCTCCTGCCCGGGCTGACAGAGGCGTAAATCCCGCTCTCGGCGGGGCGCGTCCTTCGGGGCGAGCAGTCAAACAGAAATCCGGGCTTGCTCCAAAGAGAGAGGGATCCCGAAGGTGCGGGTGAGATCTTTTGGAGGAAGGCTGGCAGGACCAGCAGGGAGGAAGCCGGGGGCTGCCTGTGCCCTGCAGCCGTAGCCGAGGCAGCGCGTCCCCTCCCGTGCCAGAGGCCTGGCCTGTGGGGGACCGGTCTGTCCTGCTGCGGGAGATGCTTGAAATGCAGCAGTTCACTGATGCTGTACGAAACGCACGTTTCCTTCGAATATTTTGGGCAGCCAGCCAGGTCGAGACTGGCCAAGTCAAGAGGGAAGAGCTTGAGAGGCGTGTAGGGGATGTGCTGCAAGCCGTGGTGCTCGCCGGGTCCCGGCTGAAGCCGTGCTGGCTGCTTGTGCCTTCGGGGTGATACTCTGAAGCAGGCTGGGGGCTCAGAACAGATCGCAGGGGTCAGCGAAGGCCAACAGTTGGATTTGCTCAATTAACAACGAGGCTGTGAGTGCGAGCTCTCCCGTGTTTTAAAATCTCCCATCGAAAGCCATTCTTAAAAATCCTCTTTGAGGTGGGGGAGAGAGCAGTCATTCTGAGTCTGTATCTATCAAAAATCCGCTGTCCTGAGAAAGGGAGCCATGTGTTTCCCTGTCCTCACTGCCCAAAGCGAACCTTTTTTTCCTTAAGCATAAGACCTCACATTTTTACATTAAGTGTGAGGAATTGTAGGGACTGGCAATCAGTAAATAAATGTCCCTCCTTAGAGTCTTAAATTTGATGTACATTTTTAGCTTAAGGCACGCTTCCCATTTTACCTGTGAAAGCTGATTTGAAGCAAAAGCAGCTGCATGAGGGAACCCTGGAAAAAAACGCACAAGCTTTTGTTTTTCAGGGTTGAGAAAACGCCGGGTCGTGCTCAGAGCAGGAGTGAAACACCCTGTACCTGCTATCGGCGTCCCCCGGGTGCGCGTCCACACCTACTGCAATAAATAAATTGCCTCTATTTGTGTCGTTCTTACTGTCCTTGTTTGCGGCGGGGGCACGCAGGAGGCCCCGGGGCTGCGTGGTGCCCGTGCCGCTCTGCCCGCACCGCGCTCGCGTTTCATCCCCGCACGGGCTGATCGTTGGCCTCAGCTTGCAAGAGCCGCTCGCACCCTTATTTTTCTCCACTATACGCTACACCAGCACCTTCCGCAGCGCTGCCGCCACTTCCCAGCCAAGGGAAGAAGCGAGGGTCGGGTTTGAATAAATGCAGAAAAATTCCGTTAACTGATGCAAGCGACCATAACAGATTTCCTGCCTGGTTTTGTGCCTGCCAAGTTCTGCCGCGTACGAAGCTGCTGTCCTGGGGCGTAGCTCGGTGCTGAACCGCCTTCCCCCGGCCTGGCGCGTGGGCTCGGCTTGCGCCGGACCAACCCCACCACTTGGCTCGTCGGGCTCGGGGCTGCGTCGTCGCGACGCTGTCGGGATAGAGGCACGGTTTAGCAGGAGTCGGTCTCGAAGCCAACGTGCGCTAGAAGCACTCGTGTGCCATTTCGAAGGTTTTTGTAGCCAAACCTCTGATGCTTGCAGACTTCATTAGATTTGTTGCATGAGAAGGTAGATGTGTCCTCTCCTGTGTATTGTAATTGTTCTTTTACAATTGAGTGCCTTAATAATAGTTTACAAATACTGTGTATTTATGCTGAGCTGTTAAACTCTGCTGTTTGCTGTTCATATATATATATTTTTTTTTTTTTTGGTGCTTTTGGTGTTTCCGGTGGCAGTGAGACCGTTACTACTTCTGCACATCACCCTCCCGGCTGAGCTCCGCGCTGCTAACCACTTCCCTTCTGCTGTGTACGTGGCAAAACTGAAGGGCTGTGCCGTGCCGGCTGCCGCTCCCAGTGCCCCCCTTTATCTATGCATCGCCGCCGGAACGCAGACGGGGGGGGGGGGGTCAGGGGAAACATCCCACCTCCGCAGAGCGCCGAGCGTGAATCCAACCCCAGTCCCGTTCTGCCAGAAAACCCGAAACGCCCAAAACTTGGCACCTTATTTCCAATCCAGGCTTTGTCGGTCTGGGCGGCAGCAGTAGCCCATCTCCTGGCTGGCCTTGCCGTGCCGGGCTTTGGCGCCGTCGTGCCCCATCACCCCTTGCAGGTGTCACCCACCCTCTGCTGGGAACCCAGCCCGGGAGGTGGAGACCAGCCTGGTTAGACCGTGACCGCAGGCCTGGAGAGGAGGGGTGGGTGAGTAACGTGGAGCTGTTCCAGTGCATTGCTGTACTCTGGTAACAATGTTCCTTTTATTTCATGGTATTTCTTAATTCTGGTTTTATATTTAAATATGCAGTATTTTTTGTACTGTACGTTCGCGGTAGGGGATGCATAATGCACTTTTTTTTTTTTTTTTTACTTTTGTTTGTAAAAACGTACTGTATATTTTATGTGCTTCTTGTGAGGAAAAATAAACTTTTTTGTTTTCCTTTTACAAACGAGCTTCGCAGCGTTTTTGGAGGTGGGGGAAGGATCAGCCCGGCCGTGGGGAACAGGCCCGAAGGGGGCAGAAAGAAAAAGAGCCGACGGGTGCGTATCATGGGAGCAGCAGCCCCACGTTATCTCCTCGTGTCTGTCCTGGCTGTTTTCTGCCACCCCTGAAGGCCAGATCAGGAGCTGCCTTTGTCCTTCTCGGTTGTGTCCTCGCAGCACTGAGGGTATCTCAGCTGCTCTGCTGGGATGGTGAGCACTGCAAAAACACCCGAGCTGCAGCATGGGCTCACTTGTACAGTTTGTTTTTTTTTTTTTTTAAGGAGAAAAGGGAATGAAATAGAAATATGCTTCAGTGCTGGAGGCAGGAGTAAAACCAAAAGATGTAATCTTCTGCCTAGCCTCTTTCCAGAGAGCCCAGGCTGGGCCTAAGGAGAAGCTGCTCCCGTTTCAGCGCACGTTCCCCGGCACCAAGCGGATGTTGGCAGCGGAGCCGTCGCGCATGCAAAGGCGACGCCTGCGCCGTGCTCAGCCCTCCCGGCACGGTGCACGGAAAAGGACTTATTTGGAGAGGGGCTTGGTGCTCCCGCAAGCGACGTGGGCTTTTAAATTCCCACAGCCCCGTGCTCCGGTCTCCTCCAACGAGCAGATCCCCAGTCTGAAAGCCGAGGAGCGAAATCCTGGGATGTGGCTCCTCCGCCTTGAGCCGATCCTGCTGCCGCCCCACCAGCCGCCCGAGGTGGGACCAGCCCTTCCCAGACATTCACCAAATTTTGCCTTTAAAGGCAAACAGCGAGCATCTGTCTCGTGTGCCTGCGAGGAGTCTTGTTACTGCCTGGGATTGTTCTCGCTCTCAAAGCTGCTTCAGGGAGGAACATGTCAGTGTTTACCTTGGCAGGGCAGCAAAGCGCAGGCTGGGGATGCTCTCCAGCTTTGGCACACTTGCTAATTGCCTCAAAGAGTCGTTAACCCCCACCAGAAATATTTGCTTTTTAGGAGTTTTTTGAGGGGGTTGATTTGGCTTGGAGTTGGCAGCTGGCTGTCACCCATCAGTTAAACACCCCAGAGCGTGATTTACTGCTGCCCCGAGGAGCTGGGACCCTCTGGCTGGGTCCAACCAGCCAGACCTGGGCAGGAACTGGCACTTGCCGCGAATTTGCCAACTCCTCACGCGCCAGGAGCTCCGGCCACAAACTCTTTGGGGTGAATTAAGTGATTTAAGTCCTACCGCAGCCTTAGCAGAGACCGGGTTTGATTCTGGGGTGATAAGGGTGCAGCATTGGGGGCTGAGGGGGCATTTTCCTTTCACCTCGCAGCCCGGCGTCACCCTGGAGCCGTATGGGATGGCTGATGCCTCTTCGTATCACCGGGCTGCGCTCACGGCTTTGCAGGCACTCACGCCCGGGCAGCGGTTCACCAGCTGAGAAAATAATCTGCAGATGATGGAGGACGGAGCGCTGGGCTGCCCTGGGGTGGGTTTGTGAGGGCTTTTGGGTCTTCTCCTCACACCTGAGAGCATCTCCGGTGGTGATGTGGCTCTGCCCCCGGGCGCTGAGCTGGGCTGCTGCTGCGCGGGCAGGTACCCGCTTGCGGGGACTGAGGTTTCAGGAGCTGGAACCGGGAACTGGAGGACAGAGACCCCAGGCTGAGTCGCCCGGCATGGAGCGCTTGGCTTTCTGTCAAGGCCTTCCGAGAGTTGCCCAGACACGCTTACGTGATGACACGCGAAGGAAAACAGTGGGAGGGAGTGAGTGTGTGTGTGTGTGTGTGTGTGTGTGTGTGTGTACAGCTTTTACACCCCGGGGTTAACTCTCCAGTGCTGAGCCACAGCAGAGCTGGAAGCTGCAGAGCCCCAGTTTGGGGAGACAAGAGCTTCTGAGGTCCTTGGGACGGAGTCTGTCCCTTGGCCAATGCCATTTTGGGGTCAGATGTTTGCTGTTAGCTCATTTAATTCACACTTCCCTTGGCTGATTCACAAGACGACGCTCCCTGCTCATCTCGGCTTCCCAAAGATGGAGATCTCCCCAGCGTAGCTGTCTGCAGGCTTGTGTCTCAAGAGTTGCATGTCGGAGGTTACGCTTTAGAGAGGCGCCACAAGACGGGGCTGTGAAATGGCCGGAGGGTGCCCTGTGCCTGCTGGTGAGTCTGGGTGTCTTTTTTTTTTTTTTTTTTTTTTTATTCTTGTTATGATTGCAAGTGGGTTCTTTACGGAGCGGTTCTTGTTATGGCCGAATGTTACATCCTGTTGTGATGTTGCTATGGCAAAGCCAGGCAACATCTGGAGCAACACAAATTCTCTCTCCGGCGACCGTCGGAGAGTTTATTTATAGCCTCGCTGGCGAAAGGAGATGCCTGAGCATGAAGCCTCCGGGGACAGATCGTGGAGGGGGCAGCTGGGCGCTGGGTGCCCCCCTGGTTGGGACCTGGAGCGGTGGGAGGGCTCGAGGACCCTCTGACTCCCTTCTTTGCCCTTGGTGGGAGGAAGGTGCTTCCCTAGCAGCGCTTCCCAGTTTCAGCGTGGGGTTGGGTGACCGTAGGGGCACTGAGCAGATATTGTAATGCTGTTTTTGGGGGAAAAGAGATTTGGCCGGTGAGCGAGGCTGGGTTTAGTGAACAAAGTGATGAGGGCAGAGAAGCAGCAGGAAGGACGCGAAGGGCCGTGGCCACACTGGGACACCAGCAGCCCAGTGCAGCAAAGGGGAGAAGCTGCTGCCTCAGCAGCAAGTCTCCAGCTGCCTGCAGCCCCAGGGTGATGCCTCAGTGTCTATTTACACTGGGTCGTGGCTGGACAGCCACACTGTCCTCTAAAGAGGTAGAAATGTAAATATTTTTCTAAGCAGAAGCTGAGAGTCAGCACCAATGGGGAACGAGCTGGTTTCTACAGTGGATGGAGGGGCGGGGGGTGCTGGTGGGGTTCCCTCGCTGCCCAGCGTGCTGCCGTGGCAGGTCCCCTGTGCGCACACACACACACACACACACACACACGTGCATCTTGTCTCATGTAGCAGCAGCTCTGCTGCTCGGCTGGGGGAGCAGCTGAAGAGCCCGTCGGGTTTGCTCCAGCCTTGGCCCTCGCCCCGGGCATTGCATATTCCCTAAAAGTCTCTTCCTCGCTGGTTTGAAGGATGGGGCAGCAGTGGCAACGTTACTGCAGCTGCCATTTCCTTTTATGCAGACAGTTCAGGAGCAGAAACCGCGGTGCTCCCATGTCAGACTTTTCCTGAGTGTTTAATAAGCAGCTCGCAGGGAAGCAGTGCAAAACGCTGCAGGGCAGGGCAAACCCAGGCCCAATGACCCAGCTGTGCAGCTTCCACACCAACCCTGGGCTCTACGATCCCCACACAGGGCAAGCCAAAAAAATCAGGATGATATCCCTAAATCATGACAGTTTGCAAGAAACCTAGAATGTGTTTGGCCTTGACATGGGGGGACCAAGAGCGCTGGCTCAAGGGGAAGGTCCCCGAATTATTGATCAAGTCATCATGCCAACATCAAGGGTGCCTGTGTCTGGCGAGTTTATCCCACAGAGAGGTGACTTGGCTTTAAAAATTTGTCGTTCGCGCAACTGTCAGCAGACCTTGCTGCAGTATTTTGCTACCAGGAGGGATCAGTGCTGTGAGGTTCCCCCCGCCGCCGGGGTCAGCAGGGAGCATCGCCTGCTCCTGGCTCGGCTCGGGAGCCCGGCCGCCAGCCCCGGTCCTGCTGGGAAGCAGTTGTGTTTGTTTTGGGCAGCCTCAGCCAGGATTTAAAACTTCCAGCGGTAACAAATGGTGGTTTGTCTCGCTGCAGAGCAGCCCTGCAATGTGCGTTGATAAAAAAATAGCCCTGTGAGAGCCCTGGCTGGCTCCCAGGCTGATAAGGGCTGGGATAACCGTCGTCTCTCGCTCCTGAGCCGGCTTGTGGAGCAGGGGACGAGGTGGTGGCATCAGGAGAGACTGTGGTCCAGGCCTCAGCCACGTGTGAGCGCGTTGGCTGTGCTCAGAGGGCTGCCGGGGTCCCTGGGGGCTCTGGGTGAGGTCCCAGCAAGCTTTTACCAGCCCCACTGGATGCCTTTAGCCTGGGGCTGGGGGGCAGGTTGCTGGGGGCTGTTTGCAAACTCTTCAGGCAGTTCAGCCCCGGAGGTGCCTGCGCAGGCTGTGCCACCGCTTGCATTGCTGTAGGGACCAGCTAGGTGTTTTCCTGCATCCCGGATCGGGCTCGGGCAGCCGGCACCTCGTGCACCATAAAAGGCAAAGCGCTGGGGAAGAGCTGCCGGGGTGGGAGCCGCGGCGGCCGCTGCGGCTCGCTGCAATGCCAGGCATCCCAGCTGTGTATAAACGGATTAAAACCCTCCAGCTCTCTTGCTCCCCCTCCTTCCGGATTGTTCACAGGAGCCCGTTTGGCAGAAGGATTATCCAAAGGGAGGAACTTTCTGCTCAGAGGGTTGTCTAGAGAAATGCCCAGGGCGTTAGTAGAGATTTTTGCTAAGCTGCGTTTTGGAGTCTCCTAAGGGAAACTTGTTTCTGAGGCTGCTGTCAGGCTTCTCTGTTTATCTCGCGCAGTCTTCGTTATGTCACAGCAGTTCCCTTCGCAGTAACGTATTCCCGCAGATAATTCCAGCCGGCCCGTCTCTGCCCTGCGTGCTCTGTGCAGGCGGTATCTCTCCCCGAAATACTGGGACGCAGACCAAGGCTGCGCGCCGCTTCCAAGGAAGGAGCACTGGGGGGGACGCTCCGTGTCCGCCGGGCGCCGGGCAGGGAGGCAGGGAAGAGTGCCAGGGGCACGGATGCGGGTTTCCAAGCTCTCCGTGAAACCCACGGAGGAGCTGACGGGGGTGATCCTGCCTGGATGAGCCGCAGCAGGTGACCTGGCAGTAAATCACTCTGGAAGCAGCGAGACCAGAGGGAAGCCAGGGAGGATTGCTGCACGGGACCATAGGGAGTTATTGCTGCAGCAGG